CCCCCGTCTCTCCCCCAGGCTCTGCCCCAGGCTCTGCCTCAGGCTCTACCCCAGGCTCTGCCCCAGGCTCTGCCCCAGGCTCTGCCCCAGGCTCTACCCCAGGCTCTACCCCAGGCTCTGCCCCAGGCTCTGCCTCAGGCTCTACCCCAGGCTCTGCCCCAGGCTCTGCCCCAGGCTTCCTCCTGCCGAAGCACAAGTTAAGTCATCCAAGTTAAACAAGCACGCGCGCACACGCACACACAAAAAAATTAAAAAAATATTTAAAATTTAAAAAAAAAGGAAAAAGAGAAAGCCCAGCCCATCACGCCTGCGTAAGAGCTGCCATGTGGGGGAACTGGCTTTTAAAAGATGAAACGCGGCCGCTCCCCCCGCGTGGCTCCCCCTCCGCTCACATCCTGCAGCATCTCCGCCCCTGCCGCGCCGCGGGAGCTCCCGGGGCAGTGGGATCGGAGCCTCTGAGCCACAAAAGTACTCGCAAAAAATAAAATTAACCTCCCTTACAGATCTCACGGGGAGCAGAGGAAGGCGCAGAGACTAATTTTTATTTTCCCTTTCCTTTCCCAGCTTGCCCGGGTGAGCAGATGTCCTGGTGGCTGCTGAAGCCACGGATGGAGACAAAGGAGAATTTGGGGGCCACCAGCCTCAGTGACGTCCCACCTTGCTGAGATGGGTCTGCAGAGCTGGGGACAAGAAGTGCAGAGCCCACCAGCCCCAATCCTCAGCTCTGCACCGAGGGCAAGGCAGGTTCTCTGCTTCCAGCCAGAAAAGCCAGGTTTGAGGGCCCAGCAAGAAGAAACGCAGTCGCATCGGGACTGATTGCAATAATTAGCACTGACATCACCCTTGGCGCATCATCCACCCCCCAAAAACGTGAGCCCATGAGAGCAACTCAGATCTCCTCAGAGGTCTTAAATAAAGAAGGTGCAGCTGAGGGACTGTGGCAAACCCAGATGGGTGCTGGGGTTGCCCCCAGACACCTTCTAGTACCTGAAGAGGCTACAGGAAAGCTGGAGAGGGACTTTTGACAAGGGCAGGTAGTGATGGGACAAGGGACAATGGCTTTAAACTGGAAGAGGGGAGATTTAGGTGAGAAGTTAGGAAGAAATTCTTCTCTGAGGTTGATTAGACACTGGCCAAGGCTGCCCAGGGAAGCTGTGGCTGCCCCATCCCTGGAAGTGTTCAAGGCCAGGTTGGATGGGGCTTGGAACAACCTCAACCTGGTCTAGAGGAAGGTGTCCCTGCCCATAGCAGGGGTTGAAATTACATGATCTTTAAGGTCCCTTCCAACCTAAACTGGCCTGGGATTTAATGAGTGCCCATGGTGACAGACCCTTGCCTTCAGACTTGCACCATGGCCCGAATGCCTCCAGTGGGATATGCCATTGTCCCCAACCCACTGTCAAGGAACCCACAGCATCTCCCAGGCCCAAAACACTCGAGAGCCATCAGCAGGTCCTTACCTTGGGTGGGTCGAAGAGCTCCAGCACGTACTCCTCGTTGTCAGATGTCCCTGCTCGCCGCAGCACCAGGCGGCACCGCTGCCAGCGCGTCCCCACATCCAGGGAGGTCTCATCCAACAGCCCGTACTTGAGCAGCCCTTCCTTGCGCACCTCAGGGGGCTGCTCCCGTGGCAGCCCCCAGGGCAGGATACGCTTGCCCAGTCCTGTCTTGAGAGCTGCTGTCGCCTCTGCTGTCACCTCCTCCCCGTCCCCCCCGGGGAGGGTGTCCGAGGAACGGCGTCGGAAGAGGCTGCGCCAGCTCCGGCGCAGTTGGCTGAGGGAGAAGGGTCGCCGGGCCGGCCCTGCCAGCTCCTCCGAGCTCCAGGACTTGCGCAGCCCCACTGGAGTGGCCTCGGGGACACGGCTGGGTTGCTCGGGGTGAGCAACCGGCTCCGGCTCAGCTTTGGTGGCCACCGTGCCCAAGGAGAGATCTGTGTGCCGCCGATGCGTCTCCCGGTAATCCCGCGCTGGGCCGGCGGGCAGGATGCGGAGCTGGTTCATGGCGAAACCTTCCTTCACCTCATGGCAGAAGTACTGCTGGAAGAGGTCGGTGAACTGCACCGAGAAGTTCTCAGCGGCCAGGAGGTCATGGTGTGGGTGCTCGGTGGCGAAGCGCAGGTAGTGCCGCGCCAGCTCCTTGGCGGTGCTGATGGCGTGGAGCTCGCAGAACTCATGCCAGCCCCGGGGATGCGCTGGCGTGCCGGGCGGCAGGGGCC